TAGACGGCTGCGTTGACCCTGGACTTAATGAAGCACAGTGGACCAACACCAGCAGATGACATGGCTCCCCAAATCAACACAGACTGTGGAAACTTCACACTGGACTTCAAGCATCTTGCAGTGTGTGCCTCTCCATTCTTCCTCCATACTCTGGGTCCTTGGTTTCCAAATGAGATGCAAAATTTGCTCTCATCAGAAAAGAGGACTTTGGACCACTGAGCAACAGACCAGGTCTGTTTTTCTTTAGCCCAGGTAAGACGCTTCTGACGTTGTTTGTTGTTCAGGAGTGGCTTGACAAGAGGAATACGACATTTGAAGCCCATGTCCAGGATCCGTCTGTGTGTGGTGGCTCTTGATGCACTGACTCCAGCCTCAGTCCACTCCTTGTGAAAGTCCCCACCACTTTTGAATGGCCTTTTCCTGACAATCCTCCCCAGGCTGCGGTCATCCCTGCTGCTTGTGCACCTTTTTCTTCCACACTTTTCCCTTCCACATAACTTTCTATTAATGTGCTTTGATACAGCACTTTAGGAACATCCAACTTCTTTTGCAATTACCTTTTGAGGCTTTCCCTCCTTAAGGATAGTGTTAATGATGGTTTTCTGCACAGCTGTCAGGTCAGCAGTCTTTCCCATGATTGTGATTCCTACTGAACCAGACTGAGAGACCATTTAGCCCTTATTCACACCTGAACGTTTTGTAGCACGTTCTACGCTCGACGAACGCTCTACAAAAGGCTCAAAAATATAAATCCCATTGTATTCAATGGTCTCGTTCCCACCTTGGCGTATTTCCGCCCGTCCCTAACACGCTACAAAACGGCCCACGCCTGAAAAGGTACATGTACTACTTTGGCCCGTTTCCATTGGGATACAGCCAAGTAGTCTTGGGAAATGCGCGTTTGTCGCGCAACTTTTTTTTACCGCGAATCGCGGTAAAAAAACGCGCGACAGACGCGCATATGCAATACGCCTAGGTGTGAACGAGACCTCAAAGGCTCAGGAACCCTTTGCAGGTGTTATGGCTTAATGAGCTGATTAGAGTGGGACACTTTGCCCCTAGAATATTGCACCTTTTCACAATATTAAAATTTTCTGAGATTGTGGATTTGGGGTTTTCATGAGCTGTAAGCCATAATCATCACAGTTATGACAAATCACGGCTTGAACTATCTTGCTTTGCATGTAATGAATCTATCTCCTATATTTCACCTTTTAAGTTGCATTAGTGAAATAAATGAACTTTTGCATGATATTCTAATTATTCGAGTTTCACCTGTATATGCTGCTGTTCCATTTCCCCCCTGGTCTGAATGTTGATGTTCAGGGATTACCAGACACCAGTTCAAAGACATAATACAAAAATGTATCTCCTTACACTTAAACTTTCCTTGTATGCAACATTTTTTTTTAGAATGGAGAGGGATTTTTTATTGCTGCCTGTGTCCCCAACCCCTCGATTTGCCCTGGTGACCGTTATCACTGAAAGTGGGGGAAAAAAAACAAATTTTGGTTGTCGTCCGAACAGGAATAGAGGGGGAATCTTCCAATTGGGACACGAGTTCTGGTGACCTTGCTAACCACCAGGGATTTCCCTAACTTTGGAGGGATTTCCTCTTCCTGTTATGACCATGGTAGATGTAGTGAAATCTCCCCAATGGAACACAGTTGGCAAAAGATGCTGACATGGGTTATGACCCTCCCTTACTGTATCCAGCTTTCAGTGCTTTAAAGATAAATGTTATGGATAATCCCCAGATGTCACTTCTGATAGGTATAGATGTTTACTTTTTGTAAGACTTGCATATATTCTAATCAAACTGATCTCTCTAGATCGGAGGTCTTAAATCCACTCGGGGGCTTTATAATGTCATTATGTGTGGTTGTGATGGCTTGTGTGTGTGTTTTGTCAGGATTCCTGTGAATGATCAGTATGCGTGTTAATGTCTCTGTGTGTGTCATGTCAGTATATGTGTGGTTTTTTTAATATTGGACAATAGTCACACATTTATACAGAAATACACACACTCACACCTCCTCCAGTCTGTGAACAGAGGAAATGTCAGTTTTTATTAATGCAGTACAGTGTGCAAGATGTGGACACAGAACTGCTCAGAATGTAAGGTTTTATATTTATATGTGCCTATCTGTAGTAGACTGGAGAGCTGACCATGAGGACTGAGAAGTTCTTCTTGTGATTTTTGCTTAATCTCAGATATTCTACTACTGGTTTGTCTATTGTAAGATTACTCGTCATTTAGCAAAAGTTTATGAGTTCCCTTTGATTTACTCCATGAGGCCAAGTGTTAAGATGTATACATTTTATTCAGCTAAACGTTACAGGAATCTTATACCGGGTGTAATATGCCAAAGAAAAGACGTATGCTTGTTTTTTTTCCGTTAGTTTGTTCATAAAACGGTAAAACTGTAGAAAATAACATTAACAGCAAAATTGGCAAAGAACCTTTCAGAATCTGCATCAGTGCCTTCAGTGATGCACAGTCAAACATGATATTATTACATTATTATTATTATGCCTTGTGTTCTTGAGGATCAAATGAACAATTTAACAACCATAGTCACCATGAAGAGACTGAAGGTCAAACATAACGTCCCAGCAGACGGTCACTGATTTGTCATACGAATCTGTCCTAATTGTCAGAAGACAAAGAGACGGACACTACAATGTTCTGGAGCCTATATATATATCTATATCTATATCTTCCTGTGACCCTAAAGAGAACTATGGCCAAAAAAAGGCATATACTAATTACATATAGACCTCTAATGTCCTCCTGTGACCCAAAACTCTGCATATAGCGTGGTATTGACTGCGCAGAGTCGCGCTGCAGCTGGGACGGATCCCGACAATATCACGCGACTAATCCCCTAGCTGTGAATCTAGCCTTCAGGACTGGAAGGACAGAAATACAAACCCTTTGGCAGGTAAAATAGTTACCTTATATGTCCTATGTATTTAGCTGTTTGCCTGGAGTTCAGCTTTTACATTTGAATACATTTCCATACAGTTTGCTTATTTTTTATTTCATGGAAAAACATTTTGTGATCATTGAAAGACAATCTTGAAGCCAAAAAGATACAGTGCTATTAGAAACAAAAAGCTGCTAAATACTTTTTAAATAAACCCTAGATAATGTTGTTTAGTAATTGGCTTACATTTTAATACAGCTTTAACTAGATTAAAGTTAAAGCCTTGAGTGTTTCTATGAAGTAATACACAGCCTTGCCGAACACCTTATGTTGGGTGTGCAGTAGCTTTCGGAGCCCATTTCTGTACATGGTGACATCCACTTCATTCCTGAGCAATATTTGCCGATACTGGCAATACTAGTGTTTAAAGGAGTACTATGAGGTGAGTGCTTTCCACTCACCTCATAGTTCTAGCCGACCTGTGACAATGAGAAAGCAATGTAGACTTGGCCATACAATAATAGAGGTTTGTTCGACTGTTTTCGGAACGTTTGGTTGATTTTTCCTTTTTTTATAGTTAATTGGGTCAAATAGACAATTTTTAACCATTGTGATGGAAAGATATCAAAGCAGCACGATGGAAAAATGTTCTTGAATAAAATTTTGACCGTGAATGTGGTTTTCATTCAGTATACTCCATTCATTCCAAAATCAAATGTTAAAATCAAACTATGTTTCATACGACATTCGTCAAGTCTCTGATTGTATTATCTTATGTTCGGACAAAATTTTTGTACAGCACCTTCACAGTCAACTGTCTTTATGGAAAGACCTGGGATAAAAGTGAACTTTATTGAGATACAACGCAGAAGCCAGGGTTGTATCCTTTAACCCTTCGTTAGGATAGGCAGTGTTCAAATCTACCTTACAAATGATAAACAAACACCTTACAGCCCCTCCTAACATCACAAAGAAGGAGAAGCAAGTAGAAATGTCAACCCTTAAGAAGCCAAGAAACCCTTACCCAAGTAAAGGCAATTTAAACAATAAGCATGTGTGTGGGGGTTTTGTTGTTTTTGTTTTGTCTTTTTTAGCTTATGCTATCTGAATAGGAGCTATCCCAATTTGCCTGTGAAAGTGGAAATATGCTTTTAGGTTTGATCCTAGGAGCACCAAACATTACAATAAGGTTTTCCCACACATATAAACAATACTTAACACATTGTCAGTCATTATGCAAAGCTACCCAGGATGTTGAAATGCTCAAGGCAACATTTTCCACTTGATAAATACATTAAAAAAAACAGTAGTGTTGCTCAGATAAGGTCTCCATCTCCAGTATGCCTTTCAGTGGTTAGACTAAAACAGGACGACAAACCAGACATTGCCCATAGATTCAAGCTTCACCAAGTTCAGCTTTATCAGGGAATGTATTGATTACTTCATATACAATTGCAAGATCACATGAGTACACAGCAACCAATTTCAATACCTATGGCTTGTATGCAATGAAGTCATAATATTTCCTAAAATATTATTAATGCAATATTTAGATATTCATTTTAGGCTTCATACATTGTTTTCTATGTATTTGTATAGTTTCTGTAAATGACTGTGTGACTGCTTATCCAGTGACCGTCATCTGCCCTGTACTGAACCCTAAATTCATAAGCCTGGGGTATCCATCTCTGTGTAGAACACACTTCTCAGTGTGAAACTGTTCCAAACTATGACTTGCATGCATCTTTCTCCGGTGTCTCCATAAAGCTTGATGGTAAAAGAGGGGCTACTCTGTGCCCTTACCCTTGTGAACCCTTGTGAAGCACGGTGAACCAAAAAGCAGGATTGATCCCAGAATGAAGAAGTAGATTTTACTAGTGTTGTCTTTTTATTATACAATTTCCTATTCTGGCTTACGAACACCTCATTTCTTTTCAAGAGTTTATTTTCAGAAGAAAAAAAACAATGCCACTATAGTAGACAATGTGTTTGTTGAAGGATGATTACATTGTTGTGAAAAACCTTTATTTCAGCTAGCATTTATACCCGTCTGTCTTTTCTCTCTTTCAGTGAGCATGTTTTTGAATACATTAACCCCTAAATTTTATGTTGCTCTGACTGGTACATCCTCCCTCATCTCAGGGCTTATATTGGTAAGTAGATACTTTTATTTTGTAAAATGAGTTTGCTTATTTTTAGATGCTTCATAGACTCAAAGTCTCATAATTGAAACTGTGCTCAGTTCAGATTTATTTGCTGTCACTTGCACTTGGCATGTGCATAGGTGACTGATTTGTCGCGCGTTTTGTGGCGCGCGTTTTTACCGCGATTTCGTGGTAAACGCACGTTTCCGAGGGCTACCTGGCTGTATCCCAATGGATTCGCGCGGCAAATACGCCCCAAAGAAGCTCCTGTACTTCTTTAGGCGTAGGGCGTTTTGCAGCGTGTTCCTATGCGCTGTAAAACGCCCAGGTGGGAACCATGCCCATAGGCAATCATTGGTGTTGAGCGTTTTACAGAGCGTAGGAACGCGCTGTAAAACGTCCAGGTGTGAACCAGGCCTAAACCTTTTGGTCATCTCATGTTTAAGAGTCGGGCTTGCACACCACACTAGGCACAATAAAATGGTGACACAGTGACTGCATGCATTAACTTCTGCAACTGTTGTGTGTCTGGATGATGTACCCTGCCAGGTTTGATAGATATGCAGATATCCAGTCAAGGGGGATTATTGGGAGATTACAGCCATTGATGGGCAGTTATGTCTAAATGTATTAAAATCTTAAACTTTTTTCAATAATGAATCCAGGTCAAACAAATATACATTGCCCAGCAAAGTATTTCTTGAAAATGTTGTCCAAGCAAATATGTCATAATGTTTTTGAACAGCTGGTTCCTTGGTGTTGCAGTGCTGACAGCAAACTATGGGTGGGCTTAGAACAGGATACATGTGACCACCCTATCAGTGGCGTTCCTTCGATAATGCCTACATTTCCCCTACGGTCCTGGCTCAATCCACATATTCAGGCGACAATGAGAGTAATAGAAGAAGCCCTTTTCATCTTCAGATCTTTCCCTGTACATCTCGCCCTTGATGACTGTTCTTAGCAATCCACATTTCCCTCCTGGTATGCGGTGCTCATGCTTCAGGGTCTTACTGGAATCTAGGCAAATATGTGCCATTATTTTTATGGGTGATCTCCGATGGTGCTCTATGGATCCAGACTATGGTGGAATCCCTGATGGATTCTTGGGAAGCTATGCAAATTTAATCTAGTTGTGTTGAGGTTAGGATGACAGTTCCAATTTGAAGCCCCTTGGATAAAGAAGGCCTGTAGAATCAAATAACCCCTGTGTATAGTGGTATCTGTAGGTGTACCATTTATATGCATTGTTTACAACTAATGAGGAGTGAGACTGTTTAATTGATTCTCTGTAGACCTTTAAAGGAAAATATGCATCTCCCTAAAGATGATCACTGTTTTAAAATGAGCAGTCCCTCTAGGGTTGAAGCACTAAGTGATTCTTGTTTCTCTTTATTACATTTATTTTCATTTGCTCTTATCTGCGAAATAGTCTTGTTGAATGTTTCTATTTGTATTGTGTATTTTTCTTTGTCACTATTTTGTGTCTATCGAGTTAACCGATATAATGTAAGTGTTTGGTGTTGAGGTAAAAATTACATTTACATTATTTACATAGCAATAACATATTATGCAGAACTTGAAACACACACCTATCTGGACCATTATATAGAACTCAAACCTGGAACTCAGAGCTGTAGGACAAGAAGATAAACTTTTTAGCCCCTTGGTTACTCCAGGACTTGACAAATGCCAGGTTGCCATGGCCACTAGAAAATGTGTCTTATAGGTTGAACTCGATGGACATGTTTCTTTTTTCAACCTAACTGTGTAACTATGTCCTACCGCTTAGGCTTTTGTCAGCCCCAGGGGGTGCAGGTTCCTATCGCCTGACGTCTGGGATATGCAGTTCCGGGTGCTGGGCAGATGTTGTGTGTGGCTTTTTTATTTTCTAAATTTTAGCCCTGCTGCAGGCAAGCAAGGCTAAATGTAGAGTGGCGGAAGCCGATGCTCGTTTTGTACAAGTGGTCTTGGTGGCTGTACTGCCTCCCAGATCACTTGTAGCAGTTGTTCACTGTCCCCCCCCCACTTCCCACTGTAGCTTTTTTGGTGTCTTCTGCTGGGGGACCTGAGACCACGGCAATGATTTCAAGTTAGAAAGTAGAGAGCAGACTGGAGAACGGCCATCCGTTTTCCGTTCTGCTCTGTGTGATCAGTGAGACAGGAACGCTGTACTCACAGCGCTTTGTCTCAGCTGCACAGGAGATCGAGCACAATGCTGTGCTTGATCTCCTGTACTGCACAATGCTGTGCTCGATCTGTACTGGAGGCAGGCTCCATAAAGAGAATTTGTCACCTCCAAATGCTATCACACAGGGGCTTGTTAGTAATAAGTAGAAAGAAAAGTCAAAAATAATGAAATGAAAAATAAGTGATAACATAAAGTAAGTTTAAAAAAAATAAAAAGCGATGAAGTAAAAAAGTATAAAATCAAAAGATTAAACAAAAGTGATAAAGTAAAAAATAACTGCATCCTGTGTCCTCTTCGATCCCCGCTACTCTCCCTGCCTGTATCAGCAGAGGCAGCGGGGATCCTAGGGGACACAAAGTGCTGCAGCAAGTGCTCAGTGGGGAGGAGAGACCGGCTGTCAGCCGCTGTGACTTGAAATGGCCAGTAGTAGGCTGGCTATTGCACCTGCCCCTTCGAACGTGCACATACTAACGGAAACACAAGTTGGGGGCACCTACATACGAAAACGGCGATTGCGGTACACATGTCAGGTAATGCCACGTGCACCAATTAAAACTGAAAACTGTGATTGAACATTACAACTGTCGTTGAAAATAAAGCTTTGTTAGTTTAACTGCCTCCGGGCTGGCCGTAGTAGAAAAACGGCCGGCCCGGAGCTCTCTAGATCTGAGCGGCCGTCTTTAGACGTCCACTCAGACACGCCCCCTCGCGCGCGAGCTGGAAATTGACGTTTTTTAATGACCCCGACTTTTATATTTTACCAAAAAACTGGGTAATAATGTTTCCTAACATAATGTAAAAAAAAAATTTCAGTAATTTTTGCTAATTATAATAAAAAATAAAAACCCCAGTGGTGATTAAATACCACCAAAATAAAGCTCTATCTGTCCCTAAAAAATGGTATAAAATTAATTTCAGTACAGCGTTGCATGACGGAATAAACGTCAGTCAAAGTACTGCAGCGCTGAACACTGAAAAATGGCCTGGCCAGCAAGGGGGTCTAAACACATGGTCTTGAAGTGGTTAATTTAAAAAAAAAAAACTGGCTCCTAACTTTTTTTTTTTTTAGCTGGCTCCTAGATTCAAAGCAAATTTGTCAAGCCCTTGGTATGCATATCCGCATCCAGAACCCAGCTATCAGGGACTATTTGTGCTGATTTTGCACTACAGTATATTAAATAGGATAATTTTAGTAACTCATGATAGTTTAGAACAGTCGTTCTCAACCTGTAGAACCTCAGGACCCACATTTGTCCTTGGTCATCAAGTCATGACCCAAGTCACACGGCATTGCGGTACTGCGCGTTCCAGTGCAGGCGATTGAACTTTGGGTGGGAGGTGCGTTTGGGGTACCATTCAAATGAATGGCAATGCAACACACCTCCCACACCAGAATGCACTGCAGGTGTGATTGTGTGGTACAGTGCGTTAATCACACGGGACTGTGCGATTTAACGCACTGTACTAGTGTGAACGGGCCCTCAAAAACATTGACCGAGACACACAACCACAGACACAATCTCGCACATCCACACTCCAAAAATTTTTTTGTTTCTTAGATCCACCCAGTCTCCTTACCTTACGAGATCTAGAGTGGATACTCAGCCTTGGGTCCAATGTGGGCTGCTGTGATGTGATGAAGCTCCATCCATATGTGCATTGCGCACAGATCCCTTACACGCCCTGTAGAGGTGCCAGGAGCCAGAATGTGCCGTCACTCCAGTCCAGGCACATCTATAGGATTTGTGAGGGAGCAGTAAGCAATGGACGTATGCATAGAGCTCCCTCGCAGCCATAGACCCAATCCACCCCCCCTCAATCTGACACTTGGCACCGGGCAGCATATTTTGAATGGCTGCTGGGCGTGAGAACTGACAGTGCGGCGCTAGGGCTGAGGAGCATCTCACCTAGAAAAGTGGAAGGCATATGCGGTGACCCACTGAACACGGGGTCACGACCCACCAGTTGAGAATCAAGGGTTTAGAGTATCCTGGAAACATAAAATCGTTCATAAATGCACATTACAGTCCACTCCAGAATTAGTTCATTTTGTGAATTCTGCTGTAAAATTGGTAGAACCGCAATTCGTTACACAGCTTTGTTTCTCAGCTCTATTACATTATGTACTCTTATATTACAACCAACACATGGTGTGTGTGTGTGTTTTCATCTCAAGAAACCACTACAATTTATACATATATTGCCAATACCCCTAAATTTATGTCCGTTCCGGTTAAAGGAGTTTAGTTTGCTGTGTATATCAATACATTGCCTCCAAATTACAAGCTAGTAAAGTTATATGAAGGGCAATTGTACCCCATGAACTTATGATATGTACACTTGGGGTTACATGTAGCTCATGTAGGGAACCATTGAGCTACATGAACGGATATAACCCCTTGAACTTGTGAGAGTATACAGGCGACGCTGTTTAACAGCCTCCTTTTTTTGCCTAGTAGGATATTAATACACAAAGCAGTGTTGCACACCTGGCTAAGAGATATGTGAGCTGAACCTGCCAATAAATATAATATGCAAAACTGCTGACAAGGAAAGTGAGTGTTTAGAATTTCTGCTTTAGACATTGTAATGACAGCAGAACATTAGACCTCATGAAGGTTGTAAGTGTAAGATTAGTACTGTGCAGGATGCACACTCTTGGCCCCACCCTGCTTAGAGATTTTCCAGCACTTGGAAAAACAATCTAAGCACCAGCAGACTGAGTGACCATTACTGAGCAGTTAAAACATAGTGGCAGCTACTTTGGTTAACAGAAACACGCGCTGTTCACAGCATCTGTTGTATTTCTTTTTTTTTT